TTTCATTTTTCAGAAAATACTTTTCAGAAAATTCTATTTTCATATTTTTCGTATTTTTTTGTTTTTACTGAATTTTTTTAATATTTTAAGCAATTTTTTTACTTTTCGACACACCTAACATAAATACACCTAAAAAGTAAAAAAATTGTAAAAAAAATCTTTTAAAAATTCACTAAATACCAAAAATACAAAAAAAAATACAAGAATTTAGTATATTTTTTGTATTTCTATGCATTTATTAATTTTTTAAAATATTTTTTTCACAATTTTTTACTTTTTAGATACATCTGACTAAGGTGCATCTAAAAAAGTAAAAAAAATGTTTAAAATTTAAAAAATATTCACTAAAAACAAAAGAATACGAAAATAAAAAAACTTAACTTTTAAAAAACTTAATCCAGAAAACTCAAACCAAACACACTGAATGATGTTTCACGCAGACTTCTTTTATTAATGTTTTCATCGTACTCTTTGTGCTTTGCTTTTCATTAATAATATTTTCTTTTTGTTGATTAAAAAAAAAATAAATTTAAGAGTGAAATCCCTTTTTTATGGATGAATTATTTTAGTTGTCAAAAGTGTCATTGTTATATTTTTAGTAATAAAATTAAACATTTAATAAATTACTATATTTTTTGGACTAAAACTTTCGTCTAAAAACATAAATATTTTGCACAAAATAGCCGTCCCTTACTGGGGACATTTCAAAATTCAATTGCTACATGTCCTCTTTTTTTTTTTATAATTTTTCAAAACAATTTTTTAGTGACTATCGACATGATGATTGGAATTGATTTCTTAATTGTTTTACCAGAAAATTTTCATGTTTTGGGATGAAAAAATTTGATCCCTAAAACATTGTATGTTACAATGAGTGTCACTTAGGTTGTGTTTGAATAAAAAATCTCAATAAAAAATTTTAAAAAAAAAATTGTGAAAGAAAAGAAAACATGTAGGAGAAATGGATGAAATGGAAGCTAAATTTTTTTTACTTATCCATTCTCTTTTTCCTTTTCTCCACAATTTTTTTAATTTTTTTTTTTTTTTTTATATACAAACACATTTTAAAAAAATGAAGATACTTGTCGAATTCTGTTGGTTGATTTTGGGCCTCTTCTCAAGTGTAAAGGGTGAGATGAGATTAGTTAAATTCATGATTTTGCCAACGTGCCACTAGTTGCAATTCGAGCAAAGTTTCCGTTTAAATTCAATACAAGATGTTTGAAAAATATTGAGTATATATTTTTAAATATATATTTATCGTTATTTTTTTCCAAAAAGCAAACATGATAAAATAAAAAATGTTATTGAATTCAGTTAAATTTTTTAATGTATGATATATACTAAGAATCTTATAAAACGAACTATTTAAATCATTGAAACAAAATCTTAATAGACTCCACAAACCCGAACATAACTGTCAAATTTAAATTTAAACTTGAACTTAATTTAAATTTGATTTACTCAAATTGTGAGAGTTTACCAATACCCTGCCAGAATTTAATCGGGTTATCAAACTTTAGTCAAATTTTCATTGTGTTTGGATTATAAATTTGAAAAGAAAAAAAAATTAACTTATATTTTATTTACGTTTTTCATCTTACTAAATATGAAATTATACTAGATTGAAAGTCTGTCCAAATTATACTTCTAAATCACACTCGTTTGTTGAGGGTGGGTGGCCATACCTGAGACGATCAAGACCAAAGATAACTAGTAGATCATAAGTACTTAAATAATTTTTCCTTTTGGACCAGAAAGGTACGTGCACAGAAAATATTTAAAAAAATTATTAGAGCAGTAAAGATATGTATATAAAAAAAAAATTAGAGTAGAAAAAGGTTGTGCCCAGAAAAATACCAAAACTATTATCGTGGTTCAAATTTAACAAATGAATTGTAAGAGTATCTTTAATGGCTTGTTATTGGAGTTGCTATTGCCAAATTATGGCAGCAGTTCATAGAAAGCTCACCTCCAATGGTAAGTTTTAGCAACTGCTCTCTTTGACAAATGTCAAAGCTTGTGTCAAATAAGGCACAACAAAGCTGCCAAATCAGCTTCAACCTACCGTTTCCTCCCTCCCTTTCTTATCCTCCTTTCCAAACACATAAGCAAAATTCACCCAAAAACCACCAAAAAATAAAAACAAAAGCAAAATTTCTAGAATAAACACAGATTGAGCAATTTCAATTTCAGCAATTTCAAGGAAACAAAAAAATTAAAGCTACAAGGGGGTGAAGTCAAAAAATAAATAAATACCTGACATAAATAGTCTTCATTAAGGTTGATTTTCTTTGTGTTCTTTGGATTGTTAGGGTTAGGGTTTCAATCTTTGAAGATCAATGGTTTAGAACGGACGAAGAGAGAGAGAGATCGAAGAGGAAGAAGGTGAGAGATAGGAGATTGTGATGGAGAAGAGGGTTGGAGAACAGAGAAGGACATTTGGGGAAAAGGGTTGGAGATCGGCGTTTGTGGTGGTTGTTGTTGAGGGTTTGGTGGTTGCTGTGGTTGATGGTGGTGGTTGTGGTGATAAAAAAAAAAAATGAGACACAGAGGGAGATACTGAGTGAGGAAATTAAATTTGCAATCGATGAGGGTGAGGGAGAGAGATGAAGACTGGTTCTAGAGAGGCATTGGAGAGATAAGAGAGATAGAGAGAGAGCATAGGAAGTTTCTGGAATCAAGAGAGATAGAGAGACAAAGAAATAAGAGAGACAGAGAGAAGCAATAATCTGCATCATTGGATTGTTTAATCAAATGGTGCTATTTTGTCATTGGAATACACAAATTGAGCAACAACTCTATTTTTTTTCCCCATTCAATTGAGAAATGTTTGAAATAGCTGGTTTTTAACGATTATAATTTAAACAGAAAAATGGTCATATTTTTACTCCCTATAAAACTAAACAACCAATCTCAATTTGAATACACATTTTTGTTCGTTTTTTCACACAATCAGTATAAAAGGTTCATCAAAAACAAAGAGATGAAAAAAATTCACCATTCAAGAAGATGTGGCAATTCGTAGAGTTTGGTGTCATATTACTGAAGACCCAATTGTTGGGAATTCGCAATCTCATGCTCATTTTTTGGAAAGAATTTTTGAAAATTATTGCTCTCTGCAGAATGATTACTCAAGAATACAAGTGTCTATCTCATCTCGACGGGGTGTAATCATGAAATGTTGCAACAAATTTCGTGGGTGTTTGGCCCAAGTCGAAAATCTACACCCAAGTGGAATGTCTCAAGTTGATATAGTAAGATTTCATTTTCATTTATTATGTTAGTTTTTTTAATTTGTTTTTAATTTTGTCTCATATAAAAATTAAATAATTAATTAATTTAATATTTCATTGATACAGATGCTTCAAGCAAAACTTTTATATTATCAAAATGAAAACAAACATTTTTCTTTTGAATATTGTTGGCCAATCTTGTAAAATAATATCAGGCGGCAAGATGTAACTCCTACGAACGCAGTGAAATCAAGGATACATACATTGTTTTTCCCTAATTCAGCCCCGAATTCTCTATGGATAACTGCATTTTTCTTGAAAACGACAACAGTCCAAGTGTTGGTAACAATCTAACTGTTGGTAATAATCCAATCGGTGAGGGTAGTGTCTCTGCAGGGGGTAAAAGGCCTATGAGTAAGAAATCTGCAAAAGAATTGCTTCGGAAAAGTGAAGTTGTTCAAGCTAAAGTTCATAAATATAACAATTTGTTGGAGACATTTAACTAACACATTGTTGAGAAGGAAATGAAAAAGTTGAAAAAGAAGAAAAAATGATTCAACCATTGTAGGAGATGAAAGAACTAGAGATAAAAAAGGAAGAACATTTGCAAGAGAAGAGAGAACTTGAGATCAAAAAGGAAGAACGTTTGATAATGACTACGAACATTTCTCATTTGGACCCTCAGACGAAAGTGTATTACATAATGCGCAAAAATGAGATTTTCACCAAGTGGTCGGCACATGCTAACAACCCAAATTACTATTTTTCCCTGCCTATTGATGAATAATTACGGGAGAATGTATTTTTTTATTTTGCAATGTCATTATTTTTCAATGTAATTTTGAGTATTTTATATTTAAATTTACGAGTGAATATATTTACTTATTTTTTGGAAATTTTTTTAATTTTTTTTCTTTTTTTATATTTGTCTAGTCGAGTATAATGTAAATATATAATTTTTTTTACAAATAGTTGAAAAAAGGTCACAAAAGACAAAAAAAATAAAATAATAATAATTAAAAACTTACATCCAAACAATACCTACAAACTTGAAAAAAAATTAGTTGAGATTTGTCAAAATAATATGTGACCATTGGAACACCATTATTATAATTTGACAAAATAACATTATTCATTGCAAAATTATAATAATAACAATATTATTTTAACAAATACAATTAAAAATGCTCTAAGACTGGCTTATAAAATGAATATGAATTACACTATAATTTTATTAATTTAATTTTATTAATAAATCCCGTGTACGTGCCATTATTATTTATTTTCGTCTAATATCAAGAGATAAAGTGAGAGTAGCTAAGCCAAGCACGTGCATTGATGCATCAAAGTTCACATATCACAAAAGCTATAATTTAATATCTGACTCGTAAAAAAATAAAAGACAACTTCAAGTTCATACTCACCTGGAGAAGGAGAAATCAATTTATTTTTTATTTTTTATTTTAAATCAGTAAGTTTAAAAATATAAAAATTGATCACTAAATCAAATACAGCTCAAATTTATTTTATATTTAGATCTATACTGTATTAATTTAATCTTTACCACATAAATACTGTACCTAAAAAATCTCGGACAAGAAATCTGGGCCCATAACATTTTTGTTTTTCAAATATGTTTGTAAAATATTTTTTCTGTCTATGTAATCTAGAATTGATAACATTTTTTTAAAAAAAAAAAAAAAAAAAAACTTTCTAGACAGAAAGAGAGGAGCGAGATATGTGTGTATTATGTGCATTGGATCCTTCGCCAAAGTGGGTATGAACCCCCACTTTCTCTCTCTGTCCCCTTCTCTCTCGCTCACATTCCCATCCAAAAAACACTGGAAAAAGCCAACATCCAAACAACTCACTAAACAAATAGAAAAGATGGTGAGTTGATTACAAACAATCTCAACTCAACACCCCAATTTCTATATCACCCATCTCTTTCTCTCCCACACATCTCTCAGCCTCTTTTCCTTTCTTAACACTTCTTCCTCTTTATACTCTGTTTGCTTGGCTCATCTTTATCTTCCAATTCTCTCCTACTCGGAATTCAATTCCACTTTCGTTCATGGGCACGTCGGATTGTGACCTATCTCTCTGTCAAAAAGATCTGAATTCCATGGAATTCAATTCTCTATCAAAACCCAAGTCGGAATTCCAAGATGGAGAGCTTCTTCAAGAACAAAAACAACAAGAACAAGAAGAGAAAGGTAAGACCATCTTAGTTTCTTCTCTGACAATCAAGACACGGTCTCTCGGAGAATTTAAGGTCTCTGATGATGACAACGATGGAGGAGGGTTCAGAACTCCAACATCTTTGGATCAAAGAATCCCAGTGATCACACAGTGCCCACCAGCACCAAGAAAGCCCAAGAAAACACTGTCATTGACGACGAAGAGAAAAGCCGCTTCGAGACGACTCATGCTTGACCTATCTACTGAGATTGATTCTTTTCTTGCAGATCTTGATGGTAAGATCAAGAAAGTTAGAAAAGTTGTAAATGGCAACAAATGATTTTTATTTATTTATGGTGGTGGAATGGAAACAAATGATTTTATCGTTTATATTATTATGTCAAGCAAATTATGGGTTTATTTATTTATTATATTTTTTAATTGGGAAGAGAGCATAATACGAGGGTTGAGTGGATATATTTCCACCAACAAACCTAATGTGATTAGTGCCACTGCCAAGTTCTTCAAAATGTCCAGAGTTCATTTTTCAGTTCTATTTTATTTTCTTTCTTGGCTCAAGAGAAGAGACCAAGATCTTGTTTGTTTGGGCTCAAGATCCACATCTGATTTCCTAATCTATAAGGAAAAACAATTCACAAATAGAATTCTTGTAGAAATGTGTTATTAATTAGCAGATTTATTACATTAACAAAAATTGCATGTAACTGTCGAATCACATGTTATATAGCAAATTACATAGGGTGAATATTTTTCCTCTTTTGTACAAAAATTCATGCACAATAACTTACCAGTGATACCTAAAAAATTATGAGTTCGTGACTATTTTGATTTAAAATGAAATAACTACTTGCACCCACATCAAAGAAAAAAGAAAAAAAAAAAAATTATAACATTTTTTTTTTTAATAGTAGTGGTACTCATAAAAATGCTACACATAATTTTCTTGTTCACATTTCTTGACAACTCAACACAAACTCAAGTTATAAACTTGAAAGTGGTTGCAATTTGGGTTTTAGGAGGAGATTTAAGATCGAATTTATGAAAATTTGTCAAATGTTTACTAGACTTAACTTACTAATTGCTAAAAAACTACCGAGTGAAAACAGGTAAAACAGAAATCAAGGAACTATTTGGTAACATTTATTCATATTTACAGAATTTTTGAAAACTATAAACAGAAATTCATTTGATTCCTATTTTCATTTTCAAAAAATTGTAAACATAAAAATGTTAGTTTCACTTGTTTAATTTCTGCCTTCTTTTGGAAATTTCTGCCTTAGTTTTACTTTTTAGTTTAATAAGATAAAATGTCACATTTAACTCATAATTATTACATTATTTCTCTTACAAAAAGTCAAAAAAGTTAAAAAACTTATTCCAAATAAGACTTTTTAGCTCCAGGCTAAAATAGCTAAAAAATCAAAAAGTCAAAAAATAAAAAAACCAACCCACTTCTCAAATGAGCTCTTCCCCCCCTCCCTTCTCACATTTTTCGACCACCATCCATTACTTATCACTACCGGTTATCATCGCTGATAATCTCCTTTGCCAATCACCTCTACCACCACCACCCTTGGTTGCCAACCATCTATCACCCCACCAACAACCACATAATAGCAGTAACCACTTTCGGCTTCATTTCCGACTATCGACAATCACTTTTGACTATCACTTCATGTGGCCAACAAACTCTTCCAGCCATGCTAACCACTACCTCCTATGGCCAACAACCATCTCTAACCCCCATCTCCAACCATTGATAGTTATCTCTTTTTAATTATTTTTAAAACAAAATTTTAAAGTACTTGTACACTGAATATGTTTTTTATTTTCATTTTTGCTCAAAATAAGCATAAACATAATAGATTGTAAAAGTTACCACCTCTTTTTAGTGTTTTTTGTAAATTAAAAATAATAAATTGTAAAAGTTGCCATATGGTACCTAAGTTGTCAAATTGTTTACAAATCATTCTTACTTAGCTGCACCAGACTAGCATGAAATCTATAGATTCATAGATTGTGTCCTTCATATTAAAGATTCAGTTTTGGGTCTCAAGACAAACCTAAAACTCAACTCTCTCTCTTTCTCTCTCTCCTTGATTCAGAAATTGTTTGCATTTGACTTGCATGCCATGCTAGGTTCAGAAATGGTGTGTATTGACCTTCCCAAGAGATGCAAACATCCTTCATTGGAAGAAAATTATGAGGTTCTGTATATTATCTGGGGGCCGAAATTTATCAAATATAGTACATAATAAAGTGTCCCTAACTTCTATGCAATTTATTTAAAATTAAAAAAAACAATAAAAAAATCTAAAGGTAGTTTTGCTTTCTGCTGCATTAGTATTAATTAATAAATTATTTAGTTATTGCCTGGGTTTAATTGTTTTCTTGCATCTAGTACTCTTTAACTTTTCATGTCTCTTTTAAGCTTTTTATCACATGAAACAATAAACAATAATTAAATTAGTGTTAAGTTTCACCTAAAAGAAAACGCAGATCTACTGGAACCACAGCCAAATCAAATTGCCTTGTTTTCCACGCGAAGCTGGCGGATGGTGATTTCTTATATGCATGCAGGTAACATATTCAAGGAAGCTAGGGCTCAATAAAAATCTCTAAAAATCATAAACTGGTCCTATTTGATTTTTTGTTTTAATGCTGGTTTGGTTCTTATCCTCAAAAGTGGAGAACTGTTGTTGACAGTTCGGTTCACCATTTTCTGTTAACGTTCAAGTGTAGAACCAAACTAAACTGTGTATTAGAATTGGCTCAATTATTAAGTTACTTAATCTATCGTCTAAGACTTATAATATTTTTATTTTTGAAAGTCGCAAGTTTCTAAAGATCTAGTAAAATAAGATATCATTTTAATATTTAATCTAAGAACTTTTAGAACCTTAGGATGCTACTACGGTGCATAATATAATTCATACATGTTGGATGTTTCTGGTGGCATATTATACCTACTATACACCTAATACTACTGAATCTTCCTGATATTTGGACATTGAGCTTTGCATTGTTACTCAGGTATTAGTTGCAAAATTGACTTAGTTGCTTAATTACCCAACCCACTCGATTTTGTGATCAAGTTTTTTTTAGCTTTGAACTGTGATTCCAACTGTATCAATGATTTGGTTTGGTTAGTTTCTATAGATTTGATGGTTTAATTTGATTCTAAAATTATTGAAACCGTAACATGTGATTTGATTTTTAATTTACTTCAAAATCGAACTATTAACAATCTCTAGAGAGAAAACATAAGACATTTGGTCAAAGATCCTTCATAGCCTTTGTTTGGGAACTTGATTTGGGGCTAAAATAGCCACAAAAAACAAAATAGGCTATTTTAGCCACAAAAAACAAAACATCAAATCCAACCCATAATCATTACAATCCTCTCTCACAAAAAAAGTCAAAAAAGCCAAAAAGCCAAAAAGCCCTTCCCAAATCAGGCTAAAATAGCCAAAAAGCCAAAAAGCCAATCCACTTCCCAAACGGAGGCATAATAAATTTGTAATGGGAACAGGACAAGAGCAAGAATTTTACTGCACCAAAGACGCAACCCACAGAAGTGCACTCAATTTATATTTCAGTGATGAAAATGCCCTTTTTTGTTTTTTAAATTTTAAAATGATATAACTTTTGATTTATATGTCACTTTTTAATAAAATTAGTATTTTTAAAATTCTCTTATCAAGATCTATCAAATAAAATACAGGTTCACTATAATGTTTTTTTTTTTAAAAAAATAAAAAATCTACCATCGAAATTGACGAAACACAAAATTTTACTCTGTTTCATAGTGAAGTTCACTGTAAAATTTTCATTTTTGAAAACACCATCACCATCATCATTAAATACCATAGTCAATTTTATTAGTAATAAACAATTACAAAAACATAATTTTAACAGAATAAAATTTTACCGTTAATTTAAAATAGAGCATCAACAAATAAATGACAAATTACATATAATTCTAGCAAATCAGAGTAAATTTTTACAGTCAACTTTATGAAAAACAAAAGAAAATTTTACTGACTGCTATTTATAAACAGATTTGTATAACATAAGAAATAACTCAATAACACACTATCAGCGTAAAACTTTACTATCATTCTTGAACATGACATCAATGAAAAAAAAAAATAGAATATATATTAAAAGTGCAACCATAACAATCGGAGATGAAATTTTACTTTCATATTTACAAATTAGTAAACAAATACCATTACAAATCATATACAACACAAACAAATCAAACAGTGATTGAAACAAGCTCCAACTCTAACATGAACGAAACTCCAATTCTAACTCGAACACAAATTGAATGGAGATTTGCAACTTGATGAATCTCTCGTGACTACAAACTGGAAAATGATTGATGAAGGAGAAGATCAATAGGAAAGGAACGACAATCTCACTCACAAATTTGATTCAAATCTCTTAGATATATATGGAATGGCAAGATTGTCCAAAAAGACCTAGAAACATGTTTTTGTGTCTTCCATCAAGTATGCGCCTACAAGTGAGAAGGTTTAAAAAGGAAAAAATGATGGACTGTCATTTTGGCCAAATTTCTCAGCAAACTGCCTTGAATCAGCTATGACAGTTCTTTAACTGGGCTCTGGATTGGACCAGCAATGTATGGTCTTCTGCATGGATAACGTAGAAACTATAGTGGAGTGGGTCCACGTAACTAATAGCCCTCATCAGGGCCATGTTGAAACCAATCACAATTTTATCTGGCTTAGCTAGGCCTCATAACATGGGGGCTCATCATCAAATGATTGGGCCATGAAAGTTTGGATCTCATAATAAATTTGTAATGGGAACAGGACAAGAGCCAGAATTTTACTGCACCAAAGACGCAACCCACAGAAGTGCACTCAATTTATATTTCAGTGATGAAAATGCCCTTTTTGTTTTTTAAGTTTTAAAATGATATAACTTTTAATCTATGTCGCTTTTTAATAAAATTAATATTTTTAAAATTCTCTTATCAAGATCTATCAAACAAAATACAGGTTCACTATAATGTTTTTTTTAAAAAAATTAAAATTAAAAATCTACCATCGAAATTGACGAAACACAAAAATTTTACTCTGTTTCATAGTAAAGTTCACTGTAAAATTTTTATTTTTAAAAACACCATCACCATCACATTAAATACCATAGTCAATTTTATTAGTAATAAACAATTACAAAAACATAACTTTAACAGAATAAAATTTTACTATTAATTTAAAATAGAGCATCAACAAATAAATGACAAATTACATAATTAGAGCAAATCAGAGTAAAATTTTATAGTCAACTTTATGAAAAACAAAAGAAAATTTTATTGACTATTATTTATAAACAAATTTGTATAACAGAAGAAATAGCTCAAGAACACACTATCAGCGTAAAATTTTACTATCATTCTTGAACATGACATCAATGAAAAAAAAAAAAAGAATATATATTAAAAGTGCAACCATAACAATCGGAGATGAAATTTTACTTTCATATTTACAAATTAGTAAACAAATACCATTACAAATCATATACAACACAAACAAATCAAACAGTGATTGAAACAAGCTCCAACTCTAACACGAACGAAACTCCAATTCTAACTCGGACACAAATTG